GAGAGAGAGAGAGAGAGAGAGAGAGAGAGAGAGAGAGAGAGAGAGAGAGAGAGAGAAGTTCAGTAGTTCAGCGAGGTACTGAGTGTAATAAGTACCATCAGGGCGGAGAACCCAATTGGTGGATTCTTCACCCTGGTCCATCAATTACAGGAATTGACGGCCGGCAACTCAATATCGGAGTAGGTGCCCCAGCAGTTTAACTGCAGACTGGTAAGGGCATTGGTCTAATGCATCCGCCGCAGTCTGCTGTCTATGTATGCATTAAGACTTTGCAACATCAAAATGAGAGGGGGTACATACTTCCTTAAGAATTTGAAAGGGGGGGGAAACGATAGTTGGGAAAACAGATTTAAGCCTTCCAAGGAGAAAAACTTGGGCTAATCAACTCAAATTCAACTGAGGAAAACAGTTTTGCTCGGAAGTTGCTTTCCATTCCCTGCCGTGCATTCAAATTTCAAAACCATTAGCTCGGGAACCGACATTGCTGTCGGCCTCTTACACGTGCTAACATTATTGTCGCGTTCAAGTTGGGCGCTGCCTCCCCTTGAGCCGGCTGGTGCATCCATTGCTGAGCTGGTGGTTTACAGTGGAGTTTATCAACCGCACAGGAAGTCTTGAAAGTCTAGATGATTATGGCGTAGTAGGGTGGAGGGGCAGGTACATGTTCTAAAATGATAATGGGACTGGGCCCACCATAGTGCCACAAGGGAGTCATTCAACAAAAACACAACCCACTTTGCTGACCGAGTGCTGTCACCTAAAAGTCTCAACTTTGCAATTGCAAGCTATGGCATAGATGGAGCAACCGGGGACAGATACTAGAGGAGGCTGCTCATACCACCTCCCCTAGTAGGCGTCACTGGTTTGAAGAAAAGAAACACCTCCCTCCTTGCAGTCCATCCAATTCGTAAGGCTGTGGCCATAAAAAAAAGGTTTGGACCTTTTATGCAAATGGCGTAGAACCTTTCGTTAGGAAATTTTCCCTGCAGTCAATCAAGATTCCAACTCTTTTCAGCCACAATGTTGCAGCGTTTGGCCAAAAGGATGCAACTTTTGGCCTAAAGGTTGCCGACACTTGGCCAAAAGTCGGAGCTTTGGCCAAAAGCTTGCATCTTTTATCAAAGGTTGCAGATTTGACCAAAAGGTTCCATCTTTTAGCCAAACACATGGATGTAGTCAATCATTTTTCATCCTTCGGCCCCAAACTTGAAGCCTTGTTTCAGTCCCATTGAGTTTGCGACCTTCTGGCTAGAAGGCCTTCCTTCTTCTGACGGTCCCGTTCTTTATCACATTCTCTGCCAGAAAAAAAGGCATTTTCTTGATGTTCATAGAGTAACTTTTGATATGTCCTCTGCAACTGAAACTTGTGTTGATAAGAAATCCACAAAATGAAGTACCTATGAGATTCAAACAGTTCACTAAGGGCGAAGAGTTTTAGAAAGGTAACAGGATGAGGATGGCATGCTCAAAAGAGAGTAGAGCAGAGTTTAGGAGAGAAATTTCAGCTCACCAAGTTTTCCAAGTCCATTGCACCTTTGGCAGACTATCTGCTTCTGATCTTTTCGGGCTGCATTTGCAACGAGTCTGGTGTTACCGCTCCGCACAAACCCTGCACCATCACACTCTGGGCAACTGCCATTATAGAAGGATACAAGCAAAACTTTTATGAGTGATTAGCTTGAGAAAGAATTTCCTTTTTTTATTAATTCCTTTGCCAAAGTTCTTTTAGTATAAAAAGTACAGTTTGAATATATACAACTTTACCAGTCGTAAACATGCCAGAGCTGCACAATAGGAAAGCGGCCAGCTTAAGGAAAGGGCTTTGCCTTTCTTCTTTTCATCATACTTCCTTCGCAAAACTCACATTCTTTCAGACATTTGAGTACTAGTTAGTCCCACCAGACCTGTTTTTCAACACACAAGTGAAACAAAAGGAAGCTGAATGGTTTGCTTGTCAAAGACTGGCTTTTCTTTAATGACATTTTTCAAAATTCAAATATTAAGCTGGCCATCAGAGTGCATGTAACACAAAAGCAGACGACCATCTTGTGGAGGGAAGACTTTCCCTTTTCAATAATTTATTCAGAAAATTCAGTCTAATTCAAGAATTTGAGCAATCATAATAATACTATAACGATCATAATAATAATATAATAGTAATATAGTGAAATGATAATCATAATAATAAACAATAAATAATAATAACAATAAAAACAATGATAATAACAGTAATAGTAGTAATAATATAGACTTATTAGACTATATATAGTAATAAAATACTACGAATGATAATAATATAAGTGGAGTAGTGTTCCTCCAAGTAAAAGTAAACAAAAGGACAGATAGGAGCTTGTGAACTACTTTGTCGGAGTTTTTCCCTTTCCACTAATGTCAGAGAATCAGCATAAGGGTGGGAACCCATAGGAAAAAGAATGGAAAAAACAGTTGGCCACAATAAACGGCCAAATAATTCTGGAAAGCTGGAAAGTAGTGTTGCGGGGACCTTCGCAAAGTAGGGTTTGCGGCAAAATGGATATATTTTTTTCCGTTTCTGGAAGTGCGTTGCCAACTTCCTGAGAAAGGAAAGTGCTGGACTGTCCGGGCTACTGGGGATGGACCGAAGGAAGGACCATCGACTTTTGTGGGTAATGTAGTGTGAAAGGCGGACACTTGCGTTTCCGTTTTCGAAAACCATCCTTGGAAAGCCTCCCAAAGTCGCCCCCCCCTCACCCTCTGCGATCAGCACATTTTCGCGGTGAAAATCGGTCTCCATCGACTTTTCGAAGGCGCGGACGATGCGAAAACACATTTGCTGGGTCTTCCGGGTGAAAAAATGTGGGTTGTGGGTTCCCGGAAACTGACCTTTGGTAGAAATTTCACCTTCTCCACAACACCTTCCGGCAGGTGTGGTGTCCCGGATACGGTGTCTTGGAAACGTTTTTCCTTGCTGCTTTTCTGTGGGGTCCCAGCCTCAGAGTATACTTGCGCTAGTCCGTTATAATCACAGAATCACAAATCAGTGGCTAGAGCAAGTCCTCCTTTACGAAGCTGTCGATCTGGCGGCTGATTTTGCAATTCTGCGATAATCAGGGCCTACCGGTGTGAGCATGCCCTCACTGACAGTTTGTCGAGTCGAACAGGGTAAGGACGTCAGTCAGATCCATCCAGAAAAGTGTGAGTATGAGCGTCTCCGAATCAGGTAGCCATGTAAGTACTACTGTCTTCACCTGAATAGAACACCCGGTCATTATAGCGGTTGGCGCAACTCTCAGTCCAGATGCAGCAATAATGACCGAGCGTTCTCTTCAGGTGAATACGGTAATTAGTAATAAGCCGCATTACTAATTAGACTCCGTTTAAAAAAAAAATCAAAAAAATAAACTCCGTTTCTCCTTTTGACAAAAACTTTTGAAACACAATCAGGGATGCAAACTAAGTGCTGAGCTATCATGGAAAAATCTCAGGAAACGGAAAAAGAAAAAGCCAATTATGGATGGCAAAACTAATCCTGGAGGCCTAATAAAAAACGCGCGCTTTGAAATTTCTTCATCTCCACCCCCATATTGAAAACGTGCTCTTTGACGTTTCTTCATCGCCACACAGCCTATCAAAACTCATGTCGGGAAAAACAATTGATAGATGTCAGAAAAGAGTTTCGATAGGCGCTATCAAAAAAGTTACCTATGAACTGTTGAAATACAGACTCAAGTTGGGATCCCGATACTATCAGATGAACAGCTAGGCTACCAGAGTGGCCCGGACCACTTGCCTGGCGGGGCCAAAAACAAAATAAAAATAAAATATTTTTTGATTTTCATTTTAAATGTGACCCTGAGGCAATATTTGTTCAGTTTATTTTTGTGCATAACATAGTTTGTTTTCGGATGTTTTGGATTTTTGTTTTTGGGTTTTCAGTAGAGTCACAAAAACGACTTATGATTGCACTATGGGGCAAGATACAGTTTGCAATTGCACGTCGGGCACCCTACCTGGCCAGAAAGCTGGGTTGTATACATTGCCCGAACTGCAATTGCAAACTGTATCTTGTCCCATACTGCAATTATAACTCATTTTGTGACTCCGGTGTAGTTTCCCCCTTCTTTTTCTCTCTCCTGGGACCTTCCCTGGCCCTTGCACGGCTGGGCCGCCCTGGAAAACAAGGTGACCCGGGGGGCGCCGCTCGTAGCCTGGATGAACAGAGTAAGAAAAAGAAGAAATACTCCCCCAGTGTGCACCTTCAAAAGTTTCAACAGTCCTCTTCCTTGTTATCGACCACCGGCCTTGCTTCACTGCTCACCACATGCACAAAAAGACAAAAACTATGGCGGTGTGCCCTTCCATGTTCTAGCGGAAAATGCATTCTTATTTCGCACATTTGGTGAGTGGTGGAGCAAGGCCCCATGCCTTCAAATTTCGCAAGAGGGCCGGCCAGTGAGGTTGAGATGGAGATACGGTGGTCCTGTCCTCGGCCCAATTTGTCTTTCCCCATGCAGCTTTCGCGAGCTGGTCATTTCCTGAGTGCTGTGTGGTGAAAAGGGGGTAAATGCTAGGCCTCCTATGCCGCCTGGCCGGGCCGGCACGGCCCGGTGGCTGCACCGGTCACCCATGCAAGCTTTTTTTATGTTTCCCCCTCCCCCCCGCCCCCCCTCACCCCGTTGGTGATGGGCCTCCGCTACGCCTGCAGAGATCTGCCTGAATCTGCCCTGTTTGCACTTGTTTGCCACACCAGTATTTCACGTGTGGCAGGGGGGGGGGGGTAGGGTTGGGTGGGGTCTCACTGACTCCAACTAGGAGTTGGAGGTGATGGTGGAAGGGAGGATGGAGATGACGGAAGGGAGGTAGGACGTGGCGAGAGTAAGGTGGGAGATGGTGGGAGGAAGGTGGGAGGTGGTGGGAAGAGAGGTGGGAAGTGGCGGGAGGGATGTTAAAGATGGCAGGAGTGAGGAAGGGAGGCGGGAAATGGCTGAAGGGAGGCGGGAGACGTCGGAAGGGAGGTGGGGGATGGCGGGAGGGAGGTTGCCCCGGCGTCCCTGAAATTACCCCCCCAAGGCCTGCGAGCTGAGGCCGCACGGGGCCTGACCAGGGAACCCGCGCGACCGTGCACCCGTGCGGCCATCTGTGTGTGTCGGGGAGGACCGTGCGCATGGAAATGAAGCCTAGGGTAAATGTCAAAACCCGCCCTTTTGAATTTCCTCTGACGCCCTTTTGAATTTCCTCTGACAGCCGTCGAAAATTTGAAGGTTCCAGCGATGGTGTACCAAAGGTTCTGTGTTCCAGGATCCGTAGAACCAATAGGTTTGTTAAAATAGCTTGGGGGCAGTCGCGGTTTAAACAAGAAAAGGGAGAAATGTCCCATGTCAACCCACTTGTGTTATGGAATCCCATCCAGGTTCATTCTGACAGGGCTGGTTGAGGATTTTCCAACCCCCACAGCAGGTTATTTCTTTTCTTTGTTTATGCGTAGCACGGTCATCCTTGTGCAGGGGCCATGCTAATCTTCTCTGTCTCGTTCTAATTTTAATGGATGTCCCGAAGGATGGCAGGTTATTTCAACCTCAAAAAGGACAATAAGAAAAAGAAATGAAACGCGGACAATAACAAAAAGAAATAAAACTTGGGCATTCTGCCAGTAGCTGCACCTCCCTCAGAACGAACGAACTCCTAAGTCTATACAGAGGACCCCTGCAAGCATAGCTACCTCTCACAGTGATGGGGATATTGCATGTTGCCCTTTGCCCCGTGGCTTAGGAACTTTAGGGCGGAGGGTTGGGGCCGCCTGTGGGGGGACCAGGATAACACAAAGACCAAGCATTTTCAAGTTGCCAGTAGCTGCACCTCCCTTTTCAACTTCCCCCAGCCCTATCGAGGGGCAGTAATGCCTAAGGCCAACACTCTGCCACACACCACACACAACCCACTTATACTCACACTGGCGCTCACACCCACCATGCTCACACTCGTGTTGGCGGAAGACCCTATTGTTGGTGTGTTAATAAACTCACCTCTGGTTGGCACCAAGATTGCCCCAGGCGGTGATGGGGATTGAACCCACAACCTCCTGAATGCCACTTGCGTGCCTAACCAATTGAGCTAGGCCGCTGGACTGTTTTTCCTTTCTCAAACTTACCATAATTCCCACGTCCTTTTCCTTGGGTTATAGCCCAGTCAATTCTTAGGTCGAAGCATTTGACTCATATCAATGTAGACGTTGTAGACCAG